GTGCCTAACATCACTCCCGCATGCTGTCCTATAGCCAAGCCTACAACAACATGAATGCTACGTGGAAAAGAACCTGAGAGGGGCTGTTCTGATGGTGGCACATGGGCACCAAAGCAGAGTGTTAGGTGCTAGCCTCCTCAGTGATGCTCCTGCTAGATCAGCGTCTATAAAATTTAAGAGTCAGTGTTTTAAACTTGGGCTGTTGTTTGTCCTGCCCCAGTATCTTAGTGAGTCAAGAGTGATTAAAAATAACGATGTGAATTAAGAGCAGAATTTCCACTCCCTAAGCATGCAGAGAAGGTTGCCAGGCCTGGGTGTGGCTCTGGGGTGTGTCCCCACCAAAGTTAGCTAGGATCTAACTAAATCTTTGTCCTTGTTCAGACCTGGGTGTGGCTTTGGGATATGTCCTCACCAAAATTAGCAAATGTCCAACTAAATCTTTTGTATTGTGATTCTCTTAGGTCTATAGTGTCATTCATTGGTTTTCACAAAGCCTGTCTAGTCTTGGTAAAATTGAAAAGGAACCTTATTCTGGAAGACTCTTGGTACATAGATACCAAACTAGAGACAAAACGGGGAAGAGATTTTTATAGCAGCCCCTGCCTGGATGCTCTACAGAAGGAAAAGAGCTGCTGTTACAGCCATTAGTGAAGTCATTCCATCTCTGAGAGTGTGTGGGTATTTTCACTGTACAGCACTTGGAGCTGGATGCCTAGCTGATCAAGGCCCAGTTTTCTCCTTGGAGGGCTCAAGTTCAGCTGGGAGAAAACAGATATTTACTTAAAGAATACCATGGTGTGATGAGTACTACAACAGCATCAGAAAGGCTTGTGTACAGCCCTTACTAGAGAGGGAACTCACTTAGAGGGTTTAGAAAAGGACAACATCTGTTGACGTGTGCTGACATGGCCTGATCTCGTCAGACAGATGAAAAACACAAGACAGGAAATAAAAACACAAGATGAGATTCCCGAAGGCTGTGAGAAGGGAGAAAGGGGTACCATAGGCCTAGGAAGCATCCTTTGCTCACCAGAAGCCCTGTGTGATTACTGAATGCATACCTGAAATATTATATGAAGCCATGAGCTATGCAAGAGGAAAACAACTGTGATGTCTCAAGTATCGTCAGGCTGCGAGGGGCTGGCACAGTCCACCTGGTGTTAGTTGAGGGGTCTAGTCCCACCTCCCTGGGAACAAGGCAGGATTATTTCACCTGTTGGAGAGATTCCTGGTAGCAGTGGCAAATCTCTGGAACCCAAGAAAACAATCTAAAGAAGGGCAGGCAGCAGCTCCCATTTGGGATTGAGATGCATGTTCTGCTAGCCCTACCCAGGCCTGTTCAGGACCACAGACAAGTGTAAACACCTCCTCGAGATCAGTTCCCACATATATCATGATGGTAAACACAGGCAAAGCCCTGACTTGGTATCTACAGGCCCTACAATAACCTCCAGGCATGTGCCAGTATCCTCTTTATTTTATGCATAGAAAACTGAAGCCCTATGTAACTTCCTTCAGTGATATGGCAGCAATAGTCCCTACCCTCCATTCCTGGGAGACTTGTGGTAACAGCAGAAACCATACGATAGCATTTCTTGAAAGCATTAAACATTCTATAAATGTAAGGCGACTTTATAGTATCTATTACAGTCCCTAGCTGTCATTTCAGCAAAACATCATTGCATTAGGAGCTCTATTTTAAGATGAGCAAAGTGTTACCTCTGAAAGATGGTCAACTGGACTTTAAAATGACCTTGAATGTTCCTGTCCAGGAGATTTCCTGGAAGTGAGTTTTTCTTTAAAATAGAAAAACAAAACAACGACATCAACAAAACAAACAAAAAAAACTTCTTGATGAGGTTAAATAACTGACAGGTTTTGAAATAACCACCCTTGCTGGGGAAGAAGCTCTTTGGTGGATATTTTGGCAGAGTTGTTTATTTTTCTGTGTGCCCTATTTATACTTAGCCCCTTGTAGCAGTGGAGAGGCCACCAAGCTGAACCTGAGAACCCAATGGAGGGCCTAAAACAGAGAGAGATGCAGAGGCAAGTAACATATGATACCCTCAGTTCCAGAGGCCAGAGTATCCATTCCTGCTGGAGGGCTTGCTAGGATGACAACTACAGGATAGGGCATTCTGTTCCTGTTGGAATTCAAAGAAGTGGATGGCTGAAAGGTTTGTGCTCTGGCTGGAGTTCAGAGACGTGTACGATATTCTAACTAACTGTGTTTCTAGGCTTAGAAGTGCTCACTCAGTGCTCACCTGCTTATTGCTCTCCACAATAAAGTTCATTGTTTAATATTCAAGTGTTATCCTTTTAAACACTGTTTTGTGTTTATGTATAAGAGTGTTTGTGTGTCATGTATAACATGTGTGTCAGGTGCCTGCAGGGTCCAGAAGAGGGTGTCAGATTGCCTGGAACTGGAGAGACAAATAGTTGTGAGCCATCGTGTGGGTGCTTGGAATCAAACCTGCTCTGAGAGAGCAACCTGTGCTCTTAACAGCTGAACCGTCTCCCCAGCCCACCGCCAGCACCTTTGAATGATGTGTTTGACTTGAAATACCAGGTACACAAGGTCAGGTGAGAAAGGGGGACTTTTCATGGTCCGTTGGAATTGTCAAGCTATGTGTCACTTGCTTCCCCACGTGATTGTGGGGAAACAGTTGTGCCTTCTTAGTTACTTTTCCAGCACCTAATGTGCCTACAAGTGGCTGGTGCTCACCACCTCTCATGTAAACTGGCATCTGGCATGACAGTTGAGAGCTTCATTCTTTAGTCCCAATAATTAAGAGGTCAGATTAGGAAACTCCTAAAACAAACCTTTGTTTCAGAAGAACCCTGGGGTCTTTTTTAAATCTCTGGTGTTGGAGGCATGGCCTTTTCATTCTTTGAGGAAGATTCTGTGTTAGTCCTTTTGTGGTACTACAATGAAACACCTTAGGCACCTTTATGGCCTTGTAAAGTTTTTTCTAGCCCCAGTTTTGGAGCATGACTTGGCTCTGGCAGAGGGCCCCGGCATGTGCAGAAGGAATAGCTTACCCATGAAGCAGGGATCCAGAGAGAAGCAATTTTGGGGTTGTGTAACAACTTGTTCTTTCCAAAACTCACTGCATGAGACCAATATTCCCTTCTGAGAGTAGGATCTCAGTGACCTAGAACTTCTCACTAGGCTGCACTTCTTAAAGGTCCCATGAGTTTCTATGCCCCTAATGATGGACAGCCTCCCAACATAGCAACTCTTAGGGACAAATCACACCCAAACAATAGCAGATACCATCACTTGCATGTTCAATGAGGAAACTAAACAACATTCATCTCTCAGGTTTATCTGTCTGTCACTGTAGTGAGAATACTGTACTGTCCATCACTGTTGACTATAGTAAGTACTGCCTTGTACAGCAAGCAGATCTCTAGGTGACAGTCATCCTGTAGGAATGAAACTCTCTACTTCTATCTCTATCACAGTTCCTGTGCAACTTTATTAACTTGACCACTTTTTGTTTCCCTGATAAGTGGAGTGATAAACTATTTGTTTTTCTGTGGCATCCATATCCATGTGACATTTAAGTCAATGGGACCAGATGAGACTCTAAGTCAGGAGCTGATGCAGAAGCAGAGGAGGGGTGCTGTTTAATGGATTGCTTGTGCTGGCTTGCTTAGCCTCTTTTCTTATAGAACCCAGGACCAGCAGCCCAGGGAAAACTTCACCCACAATGGGCCGGACCCTCCCATGTCAATCACTAATTGAGAAAATACCTTAGAGCTGGATCTCATGGATACATTTCCTCAACCAAGGCTCCTTCCTCTCCAATGACTCTAGCTAGTGTCAAGCTCATACAGAAAATCAGCCTGTACAGTTGTCTCCAAGTCTACTGAGAGATCCAGTTAGCTAAGCCCTGAGAACTGACAGTGTGTTTTCCACGTGGAAGTTATCATTACCCTTACATGGTGGACTTTAATAGACAACACAGTACAGGAAAAGGCAGAAGGCGGTTTCATTCCAGGTCAAGTTGGGCATGGGAGCCCAAGGACCCACCTTCCAGCTCACATACCTCTTCCTAGCCAAGGTTCCTCATCCTAGGATGTCAAGCACAGTTTGGCAAATACAGGTGCAAGCCAACACATTTGTCTGCATTAAAGGAGGAGGAGGAAGAGGAGAAGAAATAGGTTCAAAAAAGGGAGGACCGTAACTCAAGGCCATCTAACTAGCTTGTGAAAAAAAGTCAGGTTTCAGCTTACCACCATTTGATGACAGTTGAGAATAAATCTGTTCCTGCCTATCTTATCCTCTGCTCTTTAAGGGCAGTTGTTTTCATGATGAACAGGGAAAGGAAAAAAGCCTTTGCTCCCTTAATTGCCGTGGAAAGGAGAGAAGGATAACATGAAAAAATTCAACTGATTAAGTAAGCGCTCTGAGGCCTCACTGCTAGGAATCATTTCCACAGTCTCCCCATTTTCCATTTGTCAAGATCCATGTTTCCTAATCCTGCATCTACTACAGTCTAGGGTATGAGTATAGCAAATAATAGTTATCGCAATCACCTTTGCTGACCACTGACTGACAGCTAGAACTGCCCTCTGACCTTCCCTGTGCATTCCTGGGTCAGGCCTAACAGGACCGTCCGTGGGGCACACTCAGGACTGTGTCGTATGTAAGGTAGTAAGAAGATCAGACCAGCATAGGAAGGCCCCACTGCTTATCCCATTTCCCAATTCACTGATGATGGGAACTGGGCGAGACATTCACTCTCTTGGGTTTGTTTTACAACCATGTGAATTATCGTGCAGACTGCTAATCAGGACGCAAGGGCCAGAGCCCACACTAAACCATACACCTGCTTGTGCTCTAGGCACTTCACTGTCCCAATCTTACTGTCCTGCATCTGCCAGTGGGGTTCCCAACCGGTCTCTGGAGGCCCTTTCTCCCCGCTTTCTGCTTTTAACAAGCCAGATTAAATTCAGGAACTTTAATTTCATCCTGTCGTTTTTTGCCTTAGGATCCATGCTCAACGCCAAAGGAACCTTCCCAGATACTGCCCAGAGAGGAGGACCCAGAGAAGCTGACAGCTGAAGAAGGAACCAGCAGCGATGAAGAAGAGAGCTGCAGGTAAGCTGGCAGCCTTATGAGTGTGCCAAGCATGAAGATTCAGATAGGACCGATGTGCTTGTTCATTCCTCCTATCCTCAAGTGGCTGCATTAACCTGGTGCTTAGCGCGAGAACAGACAAACCTTTCATGCTCTTCTACACAGCTATGGCTTCCCATAAACTGTCTTATTTAACTTTCACACCAACACAGAGGACCTTATAAAGAACCTGAAGCTCAAAGAGATTAATAATTCTGCCCAAGAGTCAAGCCTAGACTAGCTACAGCCTTTTCTTCTATTGTCGGGAAAGCAAGGGGAACACTGTTACCAGAAGAAGCCCCTGTGTATTCCACCTGTATGGCTGCTGCTGCTTTACCAGCCATCCTCAAGATAGGATATTTACCTCATGGTGGTCTACCTTTGAGCTTGACTTGGCCATGCTTTGCTGGGTTCACATTCCTTTGACCCCTAGCTGAGGATGGGGTGTTATGGCTCTGCCATACTAGAGTTCAAGTCCCATGCTGGGACTCAGGCTGAAGAAGTAATTCCTAACTAAGGCATATTGTTGTCGTGGTAACACGACATTATGATGGGTTTAATTATTATATTTTCATGCATGTATATCGTGTAAAGATTTTTTTTTAATTTTTTACATGTTTGGATATTTGCCTGCATGCATGTATGCATATCTGTGGAGGCCCAGCGTAGGACATCAGGCCTCATAGAACTGGAGATAGAGATGTTTGTGAGTCACCATGTGGGTGTTGGAAACTGAACCCAAGGCCTCTAAAAGAACTGCAAGTATCCCTAACCACTGAGCAACTTCTCCAGCCCTATACATGCATATCTTATACCTGTGTGTCTGGACCTGTGTGTCTTTTCTCTGCAAAGCAGAAGTCCCCACCCTCATGGCCCTTTCCCCAGGAGCTTTTACCACCCCCTAATGACTGGTCCCCTGGCCTAATGTTTTTGCCACGAGAAACTAAAGGCCTCTGTGTGACATCCCTTCACATTGTTAAACAAGGTAAACACATCCCAATCTAAGCATTTTAGTTTTTCAGCGAGTTCCAGAGTTCAGAGTGAGAAAGTATCTTCCTGAAAGACATTTGTCAGCATCTTCTTAAGATGCAAAATTATTTAAGTTTTTGACCAGGTTTTCAATCAGGAGAAGCCTAATTATCATCTCCCAGTTTACACCTGGGATAGCCAAAAAAAAAAAAAAAAAAAAAATTATGAGCATGCTTTGAAAGTATGGAAGGTGGGCAAAGTTTTGTCTTTCTTCTTTCCTTCCTTTTTTCCTTCCTTCCTTTCTTTTTCTCCATAAATATATATATATATATATATATATATATATATATATATATATATATATATATTTGCTTCTCAGTCCCTTAGAAGAACTCAAGCTCACAGTTGTTAAGTTCCCACTAAGATCAGGTAGTTCCTGTAGAACCTTATACAATAAAACTTATAACTTAAGTCAAGTTGCTTTTTGAAAGACAAAGTTTTCTTATCCCAGTGACTCCTCCAAGAGCTCCCTCCTCCCAGGTAGGAGCTGTTGAAACATCTACAACCTCTAATCATTGTATTGTTCATATCTTCAAAGGATTGGAGAATCCCTCAAGGAAGGAAGTGACCTGAAACCTCCACTGGGCTCTGTGCTAAAGGAGAAGGCAGTGGAGATTGGATATCAACCAGAGGAATGGCAAAGCCAAAAGGCCAAGCTACAAATCCAGGTAACACGACAGCTCTGGATAGGATATGGCTCACCCATCCCAGAGTACACCTGTGCCTCCTCCTGCAGACAGCCTTGAAAAGCACACAGGGCCAGTTTCCATCTAGCTGGTCAGGACGATTAGACTTCTTGGTTTTGCTTATTCATTAAAAACTTCAGCACCCACTCTGAGTCATGTGGATGGGATCCATCAGTGAACAAGTCAGATAAAAGCCCTTGTAGTTTAGCCATAGGGAGTATACACATATGCACCAGAGGTTGAGCACACAATTAAGAGTGTTTGTCCTTGGTTTCTGTATCTGTAGATTCAGCCAACTTCAGGTTGAATATATTTGGTGGAAAGTGCATCTGCATTGAATGTATGCATACATTTTTGTTGTCATAGTTTGTGTAAACAAAGCAGCTTGATGACTGTTAACATAGCATTTGTATGTAGGAAGGCTTTTTATACATATAGGAATGTGGGGTGTGTGTGTGTGTGTGTGTGTGTGTGTGTGTGTGTGTGTGTGTGTGTTATACAGACACTACCCTATTGTCTATGTTCATGGAACCAGTCCTCCACAGCCAAGGAGAGACAATTGAACTGTATTTTCTATCTTACAGTAGAGATGTTAAACACTAAACACCGTACATTAGAAGAGTTTCAGGAAGAAAAGCCTCAGTAAGGAGTCACTGGCCTCTCAACAGTTCCAAAGGTGGATGTGCAGCAAGGACGCAGGGGCTCTGGAAATGTCGCCTTTAACGGCAATAGTCTAGGGCAGGGAGGGACCTGGCCCTAGGCTGGGTGTTTGTCAGCTGCAGCAGGCTCTGCAGCAATGTGCCAGTGACTGTAGGGAGGACCTTCAGGCACTTCCACAGCTGTCAGACCAGGGTCACCAGGAGAGCCTGCAATACAGCCAGGACTCCAAGGCCCGGCCTGAGGTTGTCCACTGGCGAGCCCTGAGCATTCTTGAGAAAGCCAAGGCCCCGGAGTTCAAGGTATGGCGACCCTGTGAAGTGGGCAATTTGCTGGTAGTCTGCCCTACCTGCCCCTGCTAGGCTCTGATGTCCTGCACAGAGCCTTCCATTCACAGTTCCCAAGGACTACAGCAACGATAGGAACATTGTTATTCTAGCACCCCTTTACACATGAAGAAAAGGCTCAGAGAGATTCAGTACCTTGCCAGCCAGAGTCTGGTCCATTGCATACCTGGTTCGCCTTTTCTCATTTTTATATACTCTTAACAACAGAAAAACAACTATGTCAGGCCTCATAGTGGCACGTGTTTATAGTCTAGTACTCCGGTAGATGAAGGAGGGGACCACTGTGAAACTAAGGCCATCTGGACTGCACAGCAAGACTCTGCCTCAAAGAAAAGGAACATCTTGTGTTCCTGTCCCATTGAGTGGTGCTGTGTGTGATGCATGCCAGGAACTCAGGCTCAGCAAGGCAGCCTTAAGAGAAAGGGGAAGAGCAAGCTGAGAAGGACCACTCAGCTGGGAAAACCTTCCAGAGGGTAGGGGAAGCTGCAGCATGGTGGACGGTATTTAATCCAGCAGGCAGTTCAAGCAACTTGAGCACCTTGTACCTGCTACCTTCTGGCCAGTCTCAAGCATCACATCCCTTCCCATTATCTTAGACGGCCTCCTAAAGAGGTGTCTCACAGACAGGAAGCAGATTTGGGAGAGAGTAAAAGCGATCAAGGCCCCATGAAGGAAGAAATGTGAAGAGTTTAGGAACCACTGGACGGCTTAGAGGGCTGGGGTTCTGAAAGATGCGGATCCAAGCGAAGAGAGAGCTGATGGAGACGCCGACATTGCGTTGGACATGCTTTTCACTTTTGGAAGTTGTGACAGGGCTCAGTTAAAGAGCACTAAGCAAATCTGCTTTCAGTACAACAGTGAGTAATTCAAATGAAAGCCAGAACATTGGACACGGGAGGGCTCCTGTCACGACAGCTTATTAGGTTCAGCAGAGAAGGTTGTTGGCGTAGGTGACCTTGTGTTTTTAAAGTGAGATGACTGTGAGAACTGAAAGGGAGAAGTGAGATATAAAATGCGAGATGCCAAATCCTCTACTATAAAGCCAAGATCACCAAGACAGAGCAGAATGGCAACACTATTTTCTACGACGGTAAACACCCAGAAGCAACTACCAACAGTGAACGGCATGGGAGCAGGTGTGGGAAGAGAAAAGGAGCCTGCTTATTTCCCTTTTGCTTAGTACTGTGCGGTTCTTTATAGTATGGAGTGGATTGCCTTCATAAAAAAAAATACAAACAAAGTAAGCTTTAAAAAGATGATGGCACCGTACATACAGACTGTGTGCTAGGCACCCCAGAAAAAAGAAACAACATCAGTCAATTCCCTCCTGCTATTCTTCCATCTCTTCTTCCAAATTCGCCTGCAGTCTGTAAGAACAAGCGGGCTCACAAGATCCTAGGTCTGTCTGTCAGCTGCTGCAGCTCTAGCCTGCGTGTTTGCTTGGGCTTTCCCCCCTCAGTCTTCTACAGGCAGTAAAGGGAGTGCCCTGTGCCCCCCATCCCTGCCCTACCCCCTCCCCAGCAAGGGTTAACTCACCAGTGTAGAAGGGCTTCAAAGAATCTGGGGATTAGGCCGGAGGATGATACAGACAGACGCCCTGTCTTTTTTCCATCTCTACGTGGCGTGTGTGTGTGTGTGTGTGTGTGTGTGTGTGTGTGTGTGTGTGTGTGTGTGTAAGCTGGCGCTACCCACTTGTCTGTGAGAGCCAAGCCTACAGCTCACAGGCAGCTTGGAGGCAGGTGAGCGAGGAACGACAGCAACGCAAGGTCTGTGCAAACACCATGTGTGTTCCTATGGCCATGGAGGACAGCCGAGGGCACAGGATACCCTGCAACTGGAAACTGAGTACCGGGAGCTGAACTTGCATCCTCTGGCGGAGAAGTCATGGCTCTTAGCCACAGAGCCCTCTCCATGGCCTCAAAATCTTTTAAAGCCAGTTTTTGTGACTGTTATTAAAAACAGACCCATTCTTAAGAAAACCTCATTATTTAGAGTAAGGATTACATTTTAGTTTTATATCCATGCTCTGAATATTAATAACCTGCAATCATTATACATATATCAAACCTTACATGATCTATTGGAACCTTCTATGATATGCTTAAGTATTCTCATTTTGTCCTTATATTTCTTTTTCCATCTTGGAAATACTCTGTCTTTTTTCTTAGGACAAACCCATATTTTTCCATATAAGAGACTTTTATCAAGAACAGTATCTTTTTTACTTTTATTATCAAAAGTATATCCTGATGTTTACATCTTCTCTTAAATTTCTCTCTCTCATCCTTACTGATCTCTTTTTACTTAATCTCCTTATTTAATATTATGAGACAAAATACACATATTTATTAACTTATTTTATTTTATTAAGACAGGATTTCCCTGTGTAGCCCAGGCTATCCTGGAGCTGACTTTGTAGAGTAGGCTAGCCTCCATCACAGAGACCTACCTACCTCTGCTTCTGGTGGACAAGGACTGAAAACACACCATCATGACAGGCTTTAATTTACCAATTTATTAAAAGAAAGCTTGACCCAATTTACATTTTGAACATAATGTAACAAATTAAGAACACTTGGCCACACATTGTTAAACTATAAGATTCTTTTTTTTTTTTTTTTTTTCATTTTAAGTCCAAGCAGACAGGATCGCTTCACGGATTTGTAAAATGTTTTCCTTTAAGCATTTATCTTTGTCAGCAGCTCCATCAAGAGCTGTCCAAGAGTATAACTTCCAGTGTCTTTGGACAGTGAACTGTCTTGTATGAGCAAGACAAAGGCAGAAAATAAAATATACAGATGATCCCCAAATTGCAATTTGGGATACAAAAGGCATTTACTTCCTTCCAAACTCTGGGAGATCAAAACTAGCAACCTTTTACCATAGATGAATAAACATAGTCAGAGCATCTTGCCAGAACATGCCCCCAAGGAAATGTTGCCAGAAATAGAGGCTTTGCTACCCATTCTAACAGTCAGAGCTATGAAATAAACCAGATGGAACAGGGCAGAAAGATACTTTGAAATCAGAGGCGTGAAATCATGAATAAAAACAGAATGGAGCAGAACAAGCTGAGACGGAGGCCAAAACAAGGAAACCAAACCAAAATGTATAACAATTCAATTTGTTAGGCAAAAGCTCCAGAGAGTGCCAGGAATGGAGGAGGGGACAGTCCCGCAGTAAAATGCATATCTGCTGTTCTGGAGTTTCTCATCCTGGAACCAAACCCCAAGACCCAGCTCAGCAGCAATTGTGAGCCCTTGTTAGCTCAATGACATGGCAGAGAGACCAGATATGCTATGCTTGTAGATTTGCCAGAATACTGGTGTTCTTGTTACCAGTTTTGAGAAGCCGGTAACAGATAGAATTGAATTTGAGTCTTTCATTCTCACTTTCTTCAGAAAGAAAACTCCAGGAGGGCATCGGGCTAACGTCCTAAAAACTATCATGCCTCGTCTCTAGCCAGCAGATCACATGGGGGGAAGGAGGAGGCGGGAAAGAGGCAATCATTCCAGAGCTCCGTCTTGCCTGTCCAGTCAGATGATGAGCCACATTTCTGGGACCTGTGGTGTGTGAGCTTCTGCTGTTATTGTCCCCTGCGCTCACCCCTCATTCTGTGGGTGTTTGGGCTCAAGTACTTTCTGGAAGGCTGGGTCAAGTTAGGTTTTACTAATATCAGCCTTGTATGTGTGCTGGTGAGAAACAACTCATAACAAACTTCTAACAGCGTGTATGCGATAAGCTGTTAATAGAATGTATGTGTAGCTTCCTGTCCATGAAATGAAATATAAATGTGTCATTATGATACAGAGTATGAAAGGACCCCATCCATCCCTTCTGTTCTCTGTCAGACATACAATGTAGGACATGAAAGTAGAAAGCGAGGAAGAATCAGTCCCCAGGGAGGAGAAAGTGGACATAAGACAGGGTAATGGAATACATGTGGCATGAAAATAAGAAAAAAGAACTACTCCGGTGCAGGAAAGGGACCAGCAGAAGCATGTGTGTATGAGGAAAACAGAACAAAATAGATGGGGCTGGAGATGTTTGCCCAGCTGATAAATGAAGGGCAATGTTCTTCTGTGCATATGTTTCTCTTATTGGTTAATGACTGATTGGCCAGACAGGAAGTGGAGTAGCTGGGCAAAATCAGGATAATAAGCAGGGACAAACAGCCTTTGGAGGCGTGGGTTCGAATCCCACTTCTGACACCAGATATTGCGGTAAATAAGGATCAGGATAAACAAATAGGCCAAATAGATGTTTATTCAGAGAAAAATAACTTACAACCTAGACAGATGAACACCAGAAAATTCAACCCGATCCTCTCCTGTCCGAGTCACGCCAGAAAGAGAGCGCCTTCCTGGCCCCCTCCGACCTCCTTCCTCCGGTCACCTCCCCCCATCGCTCCACCCCCCAATGGGCGTGGTCAGTGCTACAGAAGGATTATCTCACTACAGCTCTCTTCTCTGTGGAGACGTTGAACAGTCATCATGTAGCAGGCAAAGGAGTTGCAGGTCTGGCATTCTCTGGTAAGCCAGGACCACGTGGAAATACATTGATTAAATAGAAATGGGTTAATAATTAAGAAAGAAGCTCAAGCCATCAGCCAACAGGTTCGTAATTGATATAGCATCCGTGTGCTTCTTTGTGGCTGAGAAGGGCGGCAGGACCAGCCGGGACAAAGAATCTCACGTAAGCACAGTATCCACCTTACATGTTTAAAGCCCTGGGTTCAATCCCCAGCACTTCATAATTAGGGTGTCTGATGACGTACGCCTATAATCCGTTTGGAAGGTGGAGGCAGGAAGACTGATGACTCGGGGCCATCCTCAGCTACAAAGTGAGCTTTAGGCCAGCCTGAGCTACCTGAGATCCTGTCTCAAAAAAGGACAAGGAATTAAAAGAAAAAGGAGCCAAGTATAATGAACAAACACATGATAACTTTATCAGCTAGCTAAAAAAAAAAATTGCAAAGCATGTGGTCGGGGCATTAGTGTACCCCAGCCTAACAAGCCCACAAAAGAATCCTAAATAACCAGTTTCACGTCTCATTCCTTCTGCTTCTGCCCACAGACCACAGAGGAGCCACTGAAGAAGGAGTCCAGTCACTGCCTCCAGGTCCAACGCCAGGCACACCTGCCAGAGGTCCAGGTCCTAGAGAAGGCCAGGCAAGAGCTGCAAGAGGAACGTGAGCAGATGCAAGCCCAGCAACTTCTGCTGCTTGGTAAATACCCCACTGTCTACCCGGGACAGCCCAGCTACTTGCGTGCCCTACAAATGGAAACCAGTGGCAATTAGGGCACAGAGGCTGTGGCAACAATCCCAGATCCATTCCCCACTATCTCTGTTTGACCTGAGGGCACACGTGGGTGGAGCTTCTAGGCTGAATTCTCCTTTTCTGTAAAAATGTAGCTGTGATTGTCTCTACCTTGTAGGATCATTGTGTGGATTAAACAGTATGTTAAATATAACATGTCTAGCATGCAATATGAGTCCAGTGAACATAGACACTATGGTAATCACTCAGTAGAACTCAGATATGAGCCTTGGCACAGGTTTGCCTCAATTCTGTGGATCTCCATTCCAGGGATGTATGCAAATTGGGGGCGGGGCTCAGGTTCCCACCATCCACCTGACTTTTTTCTATCTGCCCTAGCATGAAATTTATCTCTGCTTCCATTTCAACATCAAAACCCACCCTCTCAGTGGTCTAGAAGTTAGCAGAGGCAGTTAAGATTTCTGGAATTAAACTAGGTTTCAAACTGAATTCCTGTATGCACTGGCTGCATAGCCTGGGCAGTCCATCATCTGTCCAATGGGGGCAACGGAAGGGGCTATAATGACTTTTGTGAGTCAACTTCTCCCTACAGGTTCTGGCTTTAGTCTGAATCTGCTGGATATAATAGTCTTCTGCCTCCACGACCCAGCCAAGAGCCTGTACCCATGGCTGGGAGAACTTGTGAATGTTGTTTCTTTAAAAACTGACATAATTCTGGGTGGTGGCGACGGCACATGCCTTTAATCCCAGCACTCAAGAGGCAGCAGTGGGTGGATCTCTGAGTTCAAGGCCAGCTCGGTCTACAAAGCTACACAGAGAAACCCTGTCTTGAAAAAAAAATATAACTGACATAGATATCAAGATTCCTGACTTGAGACCCTTGACTCCTATAGAAGTTCTTTGTTCGTCTTCTTTTGATTTCCTGACTTGGTTCCCAGGCCCAGTGTTGTCTCAGGATCTGGTCTAGACTGAGGTCAGCACACCCTAACCTGTTACTCCTCCCTAACCAGCCATCAGTAGCCACACAGGTAATTCAGAACAAAGAAGAAACACTTGAAACATTGAATTCGGCTCCACCATGTAATAGCTGTGAGCTTGGGGATGCTTACCCTTTCTCTTGCTTACAATAAAATGCAGCTGGTATGGGTAGGGTCAGGGGAATGGCGGGGTGGAGGGATTAAGCATACCATATAGGGTGGTTGCGGGGCATATCATGTGTCCCTTATATCATACTGTTGTTTCTGTGACCCTGGAGTACGTTTAGGAATGATATCTCGCTGTTCTTCCTTCCAGAATCCCTGAAGCAGGAGCTGACAGAGCAGCGAGCTGCCTGCTCTGAGCATCTGAAGGCCCTGGAGATGCTACAGAATGAGCAAAGGGCCGTGGACCCTTTGGGGAAGTGGCAGGCCATCAATCAGTGTTCAGGGGATGGCACAGACCACACCTTTATTACAGAGGTCAGTGCCTTGCCCCTGTCCACACCATGTTCCTTCTAAGACAGCATTAGACTCACAGAGAACAGCCTCATACGTGTGGGCTTGGGAGCGCGATCTCTGACCTGCTGGGAATGGCAAGAGCCTGCTCCTCACCCCCAGAAACACTTGATCTGCAGGCTCCCATCTTTGAAAAGCAGAAAGCAGATCTGAAGTGTTTCAGGTTACTTATAGCTGTTCTTACCTCTTAGCCCTCCCTGTAGCTAGCTAGTCTGGCTCACCCTTCCAATCTGTGGCAGAAATATCTCAGAACACTCCCCAGACAAAATCCCTATTTAGAGCCCAGGGTTCTCTCCTTCATGTCCCTGCTCAGGCTTTGCCCATCAGCCCCTTCCATGCACATCCCTAATTCCTACTCTAGTTGGCATCACCTTGCGACAGTTTTAGCCTCCAGCTTCAGGTACTGAGGTAACTCATGGCACGAGTCTGTGGCTGTCAGTGGAATAAGCTCCTGATGCCACAATGTGTCATGGAGAAACCTCCTCCAGCACTGGTTACAAACTGCATCTGCAGCCCTGTTCTCTCTTGGCCTCCTGACATGGGCACCCTGCCTTTGCCTCCTTGTGATGCTCCCCTGCTTGATGTCCAGAGGGCTCCACACTAGGGTCTCTGTTCACCTAGACCTTCCACACGCAGAGCTCCTGGGGAACTGAGTGTTGGCATAGCACAGCTGACACTGGGACCTCCCGATCATCAGGACGATGACTGCGGGGAAGTGGCAAGGTGAAAGCATGCAAGAGCTTAGAACGGGTGCTGTGTGTGGATTATCTGATCTCTTATTAAACTTTCAGAGGATGAGACTGCACGGGAGCCCTTCATCGGGAACCTGATTCAGCTTTGACCGTTAGCAGCACCTCTGTAACTGACATTCCTCTCCCTCCTGCCAGTTCCAGAACAACCACTCAGAGGCTCAATGTTAATTACAAACTGCTCGGTCTATTAGCTCAGGCTTATTATTGGCCAGCTCTTACACCTAAATTAACCCGTTTCTATTAGTCTATGTTTTACCACAAGGCTGTGGCTTGTACCTCACATCTTGCTTCCCAGGTGGCTGCTGGCATCTCTCTGACTCTACAGTTTTTTACCCCTGTATCTCTGCTTGGATTTCCTACCTGGTTCTATTCTGCCTGGCTGTTGGCCAAATCATCTTGTCTATTAACTAATTGTAATAAAAGATATCCACAGCATACAGAAAGACAGCCCACATTACACCTTCAAGTCCCTAGCTCTGAGCTGGCCTTGGTACCTACTGGAAAAAATAAAATTTTAAAACGTCTCTATTTGCTGCCTTTCCCTCAGGGTGTGGATGTTACAGGGCCTCCTGGCTCTGTGCCCTGCACTGTAGAGAAAGGGCTCCTGGAGGAGAATGCTCAGCTCCAAGACACTATACTACGCCTGCGCGCGGAAGTGGAACAGCACCTTCAGGAGGCGCTGCAGCTGCGTGAGCAGCACCGGTGAGTCTGCTCCCCCTCCCCCCCCCCCCCCGCCCCACTTCCATTCTGTCCCTTCCCCACACTCCTCCTGCCTCTCATTCCCCTCTTCCCCCCCCCCCCCCCGCCATTGCTTGGAGCCTCTGAGATCTAAAACAGGACTCTCTTCTCCCCTCAAGTCTTCTTAGACCTAGAATCAGACCCAGAAGAGTCAATGAAATGCAGTATTCAGGCAGTGCTGTGCATGCTATACTAGCAATGGCTGCATCTTGACAAAGGGGCAACACCATCAAGGGTCAGGGGCTCAGTGCAGGAATACGCAGGCAGGAAGCTTGCCCTCCTCCCGCCCACACACACACACACCAAGCACGGAGGAAGCACCAGGCTGGGTGAGTTTCCTGCTTTGTAGGAAGGTTTATAATACAAATTCGGTATTGAATAGGACTTCTTAGGGTATCTGTTTCATTAGGAGAAAGTGTTGTCAGTTTGTTTTTGTCGAGGAGTTTGTGAGCTTCGTCTGTTTTTGAGTGTTTCACAATTTTTCCTGTGTCATCTTCATAAACAGCGGATCTGCTTTCCTCTGATTATTTTCACTTGTGTTTTGTGAACCCTCCCGGGCCAGGCCTTCCTGCTTTGGTTGTCCTTGGCCATTTAGCTTTTAAAGCACTTCTTTACAAGAGAGAGGGGAGACGGCTCAGGGATCACATAGCTTGCTCTGCCTCGCACTACAGGTGTGAAGAGACGCTGGTGTTTGCACTTTGGTCAACAATTGTTAACTTTCCTTTTCGTGCATAACCTTCACCAAATTTTTTAATCCAGAGGCCTCAGTTGCCCAGAGCATCAGGCATGGCAAAGCCCAGCACACGAGTAGAGGAGAAAATCAATGGAAAGAAAAGAGATGCTACATACATGTAATGCAGTTAGGAAGTAGAGGTGGAGGAATCTTGAGTTCAATGCCAGCAGAAACCTTTCTGACTCTCCCCTGACACCTCCAGAAGGGATTCCATGTCAGGCATTTAGAACAAGATCAGACACATAGCACTGATTTAAAAGGGGGGTCCGTTGTTAAAATTCATAAAATTGAGCTTAGACCTAGGCTCTGAGCATGTAGCCAGTGGTGGAGCAGTTTAGTACTGCAGACAAGAAGAACCTGCACTTTATTACACATGGAGACATGTGTGGACGTGCACTACTCTGAACACTTTACTAAACGCATCCACAGATCCAGGGGAGTTGAGATGGAGCCTGAGAATTCGCCTCTGGATTAGAATTAGACATAGTCTGTGTGTCTGAAAACTTCCCAGGAGACGCTGGAGTTGTGACCTCCGAACTTGGGAGACTGGGGCAGGATTGCCAAGAGTTTGGGCGAGCCTGGGCTACATAGTGAGCTCCGGGCAGAGTGAACTGCAGAGTAAGGCCCCGTCTCAGACAATACAAAACAACCAATGAGAGGGTGGGTACCCTTTAGTGGGATGGCCCTGGGTACTGGTCTCTCAGGCAGAGAACCCTACAAACCCCATGTTTAATAAATCTGCTCTGGGTCCCACCCCAATTACAGAAAAGCTGAGCAAGGACCTAGAACCCTGGATACTGAAGAGATCTTAAGTAGCCATAACGCCCACCGATGGCGAAGGGAGCCGACCACAGCAAAACATACCCTCACCACCCTGTGCACTCACTCATATTGTTCAAAAATGACTCAATGGCCATCTATCTGGGGTCATGGGGTGAACCTTTCAGGTGAACCTGAGATAGGAGTTCATCTAGGAAGAGCCAGGAGCCATCTGGCTGAGATGGAACAACATAGATCAAGAACTGTACCATGTGACCCTAGCTGAGTCTTTCTTCTAGTGAGGAAAGCAATGATCCCTCATGAGGGAATAAAAAGCAACCACATAAAAAAATGTACGTGTACTTCCTGAAAGTGGACCCAGCTTGGCCCATTAGAATCCTCCTCTAGGTTAAGAACAGTGATAGCTTGTGGTTGAAAGGGGCTTTGTGCCATGGACTACCCCAGGTATATATGAGCTCAATTTCTCCTTGCAATGACCCTGTAAGGTAGGTACCGCATCACTTCAGTCTAACAGAAGAGGACCAGGGTCACGCAGTTAAAAATAGCGGAAGCCAAGAACTTCAGCAGCCTGGCGGTAGCCACTATCCCTTTCACCTTTCTGGAAAGCCTGGAGAGTGTTCTCCTGGGCTTCAGAGTTCTAGGCCTGAGAGAATGCTACCTCTGCTTCGGGGACGGGGTGCAGGGGAGGGGGTTATATTCTGGGGCTCCCCCCAGGTCTCTTTTCCTTCATCCAAGGAAGGCAGCTCTTTTGATGCTGATGCTGGAGTGGGAAGAGCCCAAGAAGGGTTCCCATGGTGAACCCTTGGATACGACCTAGTTCAGGGCCTTTAAAAATAGGCCACCAAATGGAGGAATGAACCCCAAAGTCCAAGGGCTCAGGCTTAGCGCCTGGGTGACCCTGGCTATGCTTCCATCCATCACAGGTTGCTGGAGGAGAACCAGAAAGCCCAGAGAGCCATGGAGGTGGAAGCTGTCCACCAGGAGCACCGGAAGGAGATGCAGGCCATGGTGGCAGACTTCAGTGGTGCCCAGGCCCGGCTCCAGGCCAGGCTGACTGCTCTGGAAGCTGAGTGAGCAAAGTTTTGGGATCGGGTGGGGAGGGTCTAGCAGGTTATGATTTGGGGAAGTGACCAACTCATCTTAGTGTTCCAAGGCTTCATGGCTTTAAAACCTAGACATTCCCTGGATTCCGGAAGCTCTTCATTTCCACACAAATGAGGATGGTTGGCCATCCCTCATTTTATTTTATTTTTCTCGTTCTTATAGTTATTTGAAAATTTCATCAATGTGTTTTGACCATATTCATTCCCATCAAGTATAATATTCTTGAACGTGTGGCCATCCACTGGAGGGGCACGGGTCACATACCAGGGGCTATACTCATAAAGAAAATGACTTCCCATCCTAGAGCTACCATTGCCATCAGCCCCTCAGCTACGTGTGGGAATTTGTGTCCACCTCCCATCTCCATGCTGGGATTTTGTCTATCTTGAGTTTGTACAGATCTCATGCATCGTACATGCTGTCACTACCATTGTGAGTTTATATGTGACACTGCTTTGCTGTGTCATAATCATAACAGTTTTTTTTTCTTACCAACTGTGGCACTTACAGTCTGTCTGCCCCCTCTTCTGTGATGATTCCTGAGGAGGGGAGTATATTCCTGAGAGTACTCTCTCTCTCTCCCCCTCCCTCTCTCTCTCTCTCTCTCTTCTCTCTCTCCCTCTCTTTCCCTGTTTGTCTCTCTCCCTCTGTCTCTTTCTGTCTTGCTCATTCACTCTTGCTCTCTGTCTTCCTTTAACTGAAAATAGGTTTTTTTTTGCATACTATGTATTATTAGTTTTCCTGCCCTCTACTGTTCCCAGTTCCTCCTACCATCCTCCCCTACCCAGACCCATCCACTTCCTGTCTCTCATTAGAAAGCAGACAGACTTGCAAGGGTTAATAATAAAATATAGTGTGAGAAGATAAGACGAAGTCTTACCACACTGAAATAGGACAAAGCAAACAAACAGAAGTAAAAGTACCTAAGAAAAGGCATAAGAAATAGAAATAGACACTGCGACCCATGCATTCTCATACTCAGGAAGTCCATAAAACCCTAAACCGCAAGCCAGAATATATATATATATATATATGCAAAGGGCCTATGTGGTAAAACGAGAGAGAGAGAGAAAATATATGTAGGTGAAATAAAAATTAAAACTAAGATAGGGAAATAACAAGGAAGTGTTCTGACATGACATTATGAGACAAGGCACCTCCAAAGATGCTGTTGAGTGTGTTTTCTGTTGGCCATTTACTGCTGGGCATGTGGCCTTCCATTAAGAGGAGTTTGTTTCCCCAGTGAGACTCCCTTGGAGAAAACTAAAGTTTCATTTGCAAATGGTTATCAGTCGGAGATAGCCTTTGCGTTAGGAATGGGAATATGTGCCTATTCCTCCTTTCAGTCTAGGACACCGTCTGGTGCAGTGTTGTGTAGGCCATGCATATGCTCCTCAGTCTCTGTGAGTTCATGTGAGCATAGATCCTGTTGATTTAGAGATCATTGTTTACCTGGTGTCTTCCATCCCCCTGCTTTGAGCCTTCTCCTCTGCAGATTTCCCGAAGCCAGGAGGGGATTTGATGAAGGCATCATATTTAGGGGTGAGGGTTCAAAGTTCTCTCACTCCCTGAATAATATCTGTCTGTGCCTCTTTGCATTTGTTTCCATCTACTATAGAAGGAAGCTTCTCTGATGATGGCTGAGCAAGACACAGATATATGAGTATAGTAAAATGTCATTAGGAGTCATTTTATTGATGCTTTTTGCCTCTTTCTCTCTCTCTCTCTTTTTCTTCCTTCCTTTCTGTCTTTCTTTGGAATAGTAGTATTTGTTTTAACCTGGGTCCCTGAGCAATCTAGTCTTTTTTTTTTTAAATAGTTTTATTGATTCTTTGGTAATTTCACATTATGCATTCCAGTCATCTGAGCAATCTAGTCTTATGCCCTTAGTTACACTGCAGTGTTGGGGATGGGTTCCATCTCATGATGTGGGCCTTAAGTCAAATCAGGTATTGATTGACTATTCTTAAAAGCTCTGTGCCATCATTGCCTTAGCATATCTTGCAGGCAGGACACTATTGTGGAGTGAAGGATTTGTGACTGGGTTGGTGTTTATTCTTTTCCTTTGATGGCATGCAGAGTAGCTTCCTATACCAAAGACACTAGCAAGTAGGAGTGAAGGCTCTATGTGTGCACCAGCTCAACATCTCCATGGTCAGTGACTTGTGTAGGTGTTGACCTCAGCAATGGGGCTCTGCCATCAATCAGTTTGTGGAGAACAACTATATAGCAGTCTGTTATTCTCTGCACTTTGACTAGTTAATTGCCGTTTCCTGCAAACAGAAGCTTCTCTATGTGAGTTGGGGAATGCATTAATCTGAGATGTATTTTTATTTATTTGTTTATGTAAATGCACTCTCCACGTGTGGCAGTACCCTGGAGGGCCAAACAGAGCTTTCTTCTAGTTTCTGAGTGATAGTGAAGCTAAAAGAAGGAATGATTGACAGGGAAACCAGTCAGGATGTGAGGCAGAGGTCCTGGCTGACAGGTAACCTCTTCCCCGTGGTTATGTAGCAGGAAGTGAGTTTCAGAGCCTGTGCTCTTAAAAACCAGTCTTGACTGAAAACACTTGTAGTATGTCTTACCCAGAGCCACAGGCCTGTTCATCCTCAAGAGGGAGCTGGGTCAAGAGGATTGCAATTCCAAAGCCAGCAAGGGCTGTGGAATGAGTTCATGGCTGGCAAGGGCAATGTAGTGAGATCGTATCTCAGAACTTAAAAAAAGAATTGGGGAGATACCTCAGTGCCTGTTCGTGATGTTCACTCCTCAGTACTGAAAGAAAAGCTTCATGAACTGTATCAACCAATTCCCATCCAGTGGGCTCTTGCCATGGGCCCATCAGTCTTGTGCATGCCAGTCTTTACCTCACTGGCTCTTCACGGCCAACCACTGTTTCATGCTCACTTTAAAAAGGAAGGAGCTCCTGGGAGTAGTAGCACATGAATGCAGAGACAGGTTGATTTCTGTGAGTTTCAGGATAGCCTGGTCTATACGATGAGGCCAACCTGGACTACATAGTGAGACCCCGTCTCAACAGAACGACCACCTTCCTCTCCCCCAAAAGAGGAAAGGATGTTGGCTCCAGAAATGGTGTAATCAATGAGGCAAATAACTAGAAAGCACCAGATTCAGGAGGAGAAGAGGGGTGGGGTATTCTCACTCTGAAGCCCTCATTTGCTATCAGTGGTCCTCAGCACTGTCTCTCAGCATCACCATCCCTGGCCTACTTCCTTTATGGTGGTATCTCAAAGGGCTTCTTGACTCTAAGGACAACTCAGGCTGCACTCTATGTTCCCATCAGGTAGGGTAAGAGCCTCATGGGCATCAGGGGACCCAGCAGGCTTGGGTGGGGCAGGAGTCCTGTCCCAGAACCATGCCTGGTGCCAGGCATGCAGAATCTATGTTCATACCCTGTAGTTCTGAAGGTGTGGGAGAACTGACAGGAACCGGATCAGGAGTAGGTCCTGGGTGGCCATGCTGAGCACAGTCTCCAGCCTGCCTGCTGAGAAACCTCTGTCAAAGGACTAACTACCTACTCTGAACAGGCTGAAAGATTCTGGAGAGAAGCCAGGGAAAGGATCTTCACGGCCTGAGGACCTGCAGCTCATAGGCCGCCTGCAGACACGTCTGAAGGAGAGAGAGGACATGATCAGGCAGCTCACGGTGAGGCCCAGGTCAGAAGGGGTGGTACTGCCCAGCACACACCGTAAGAGTGCTTGCTTTGGACACAGCATTTCTGTAGCTGCCTGAAATGTTGCCCATCGACCCTTTGTTATTTCCCCCGATTACTAAGAAGTACTCATAAAAAAAAAAAAAAAAGTACAAGCAAAGAAAACAGCATTTATTTGATGTTGACTCTGTTTTTTAACCTACAAAATTTGATAAAAATCCATTCACTTACCTTGGAATTTCAATAGAATCACTCAAATTTACCATTGCTGAACTTCCTTTTGTAAGAAAAACCACCCGTTTTCTAGTAGCAAACCCATTCCCTACACCTTTTGAAGAATTATTTCCAACTTCTTTGATTTTGTACTTCAAAATCATCAAGACTTGATTCTTTCTTCTTTAGGGACCTCCCTCCCCTTCGTCTGTTTTTGACTCAGAATTATGTTAATAGGAATAACTACTAACTTGTTAAGTATAGGAAGGTATTATGGTATAATTGTTTTTTAATTCAATTATCTGTTATTTATTTATCTATTTATATTTAGGTGTGTATGTGTGCATGCCACGTGTATACAGGTCCCTTTGGAAGCCAGAATAGGGTGTCAGATCCCCTGGAGCTGGAGTTACTGGCTTTGTGAACTGCCTGATTATAGGCACTAGAGCTGCTCCTCCTCTGGAAGAGCAGTAAGTACTCTTGACCACCGAGCCATCTCCAGGCCAGTTACGATTATCTTTAAATAACAGTCACTCGGGTTAAGAACATTCGTTGCTCTCGCAGAAGGCTCAGGCTCAGTTCCCAGCACCCACATGTAGTGTTTCAGTCCTTAGCACCACACAAACCAAGTGTAGTCGCACATGCCTGAAACTTAGGAGTCAGAAACAGGTTGGAAGTTCAAGGCCATGCTCCTCCTTGGCTGAATAGTTATGTTTGAGGCCGCCTTGAAGAACATGAGACTGTGTTTCAAACAAAGGCAAGGGAGAGAAAGGTTGAAATTGAGTTGATTATGGGGAGGAGTGTTCATTGCTTAATCACTGTAACGTTTGGACTAGACTTTACTTTCAGATGCTCATATAGTTAGTTTTTTCCTTGCAAAGGCAGCTTGTTCTTCCCTTCACTGGTGATATGAAGCCCCAAGGTGAAGGTACTTCCTAGGTGACTGGCTGCTCATTGCCACTCACCTACCCTCTTCTCCAGGGCTTTCCTTCTACCCTTCTACTATCTGGACAAAACCGGTAGCACATGCCTAAGCTCTCTAAGATCTGGTTGCATTGATTTTCCAGGAAGAGAGAAGATTTCACTACTCAGCGTTCCCCAGTGCAATGTCCCATCGGAATCGGTCCTTCTCTTTCAATCCTCACCCGGGATACTTGACCCCTTCCATGAAGGTAAATCCGTTTTAACAGCCCACACAATCTGCAGGCTTCTTTTCTTCTCAAATGGCTGTAGCACATTGATAGGCTGGCGAGTATCAGTGGAATCGTCGCTAGGAAAATCCCACAGGAAGGGGTCTAAAATGCTAGCAAACAGTACTGGGAGATTATGTGGCTTGTACTTTCTATGGACCTTTGTGTTTTCTAAAACAAATATGTGTCACTATTAATATTCCATGTAGATGATGGGAGACAAGGATAATAGTAAGAATACTCCATTACTCCTCTCTCTCTCTCTCATTGTGGATTTGTAATGTTGAGCATTTTCACAAATCTCTCATTTACTACAGGATCCCTGAAAGTTGAAAAGAATCAGCATTTCATAACTCACAGAGTAACAAACCTAGACTGAGTGGACCTGACAAGATCTCATTTGTGGTTAACTTATCCTCGATTGTAGCAATGTAACTTGCACTCTAGAGGTTAATGAAGATGAAGTTGAAGATGAGGCAGGGCCAGTCCCTTCTACTATATGGCCTCTAAATATTTTTAAAATGATAAAGCATGTCTTTCCCCAAGTCTTGGATAGAGATCATAGACCTGTGGGGTTTTTTAAGGATGAAAAATAAAGATTGGAGAAAACATAGTTTGAAGGGATGGAGTCATAGTTCAGTGGAAGGGCTTTGGCATGCTAGAAGCCCTGGGTCTCAGCCCCAGCACTGCAATCAAATCATCAGTTAAATTTTTTAAACAATGAGGCATGGTTTCACTATGTAGCTCTGGCTGGTCTGGAACTCACTGTGTAGATCAAGCTGACCTTGAACTCACAGAGACCTGCCTGCCTCTGTTTCCTGCATGTTGAGATTATTAAAGGCATAGGTAATATGCCTGGCCCTCCAAACAGTTTTTTTAAGTAATATATAAGTATATCAATATTACCTCTTTTCCTTGTTGTTTGGCACTAACTAACTGGGTGGCACTAACAACTTTCTTCTAACACAACAGAAAAAGAAGATGGAGGAAGTGCCCAGCCGAGTGGTCAGTGTGCCAAACCTTGCATCCTATGCGAAGAACTTTCTGAGTGGAGATCTGAGCTCCAGGATCAATGCCCCTCCCATAACAAAATCACCCAGCCTGGATCCAAGCCCCAGCTGTGGCCAGCCTTACAAACCCACCCAGCTACTTGATGGGAAAACTGCCACAAGGTAGGTGTGTGCGTGTGTGCGTGCGTGCGTGCGTGTGTGTGTGTGTGTGTGTGTGTGTGTGTGTGTGTGTGTGTTTTGGGGGGAGAAAGGGTCTAAAGGTGTTACTTGTTACTCAAAGGACAGGAAAGAAATCAGTGTCTTCTCAGATACCTGCTAAGTATCTGGCATCTGATCTAAAGAGTAGGAGTCCAATTGGACAATGACACTCTAGTCAAATGGGAACACTGATGATAGAAAGAAACTGTTGGGTTTTTTTTTTTTTTTTTAATTTTGGTGCCAGATTTTAGAAGGCCTAATTTTTATGGAATCATTTAATTTAAAGTCTGTATTGGAAATACATTATTTTTTTTCTTGGCCGTGTGGCCTTGGACATGTGACCTCTACCATTCCCTGTATTTCTATCTTTAAAATGAATTCAGCACCTACCTGACCAAATTGGTGTGACTAAAGGAATTATTCCATAAGATATTCTCACCCTCGGACCTGATACAGAAGTGTGCTGTAAGGAGTATGGTTTTTCCGCCCACCGCCTGGTCATGTCCCGCTGCCGCGCCAGCCCCAAATAACACACTGAGACTCTGTATTAGATATAATTCTGTTGGCCAGTTACTTGTTTTTTTTTTTTATCAGCTAGTTCTGTCTTAATTATTAACCCATTTCTATGTATTTCCACATGGTCTCCTTACCGGGGAGTGCGGCATGTGTCTGGTCTCCCTGGTCTCTCCATCTTGGCTCTCCTTACCACTTCCTCTTTCCTCCTTGTCTCCTAGTCCCTCCTATCTTCCTTTCCTATTGGCCAACAGTGCTTTATTCATTAACCAGTATGAGAAACATTTACAGAATGGCATCTCCCATCAGTGTGCACCTTAGCTAAGGCTACTTTTTAGTGTGGATGGCATTACTGAGGCAGTTGCAGCCTTTCTCCATATCTGGGTGAGTGTGGGCAAGCTCTCTGTTGCACCTTCCTCATCTTCCAGAGGCCTGTGGGTTCACCTTTGTTCACTATTTCCCTCCTTATCAAGCCTTCCTTTCAAAGGGCATCCTTTAAATTCGGAGCTTGAGGTTTGCATTTGGAAAGGACCTCCTCTAAAATGCTGTGGTCCTAGAATCTCCCTGCATGCCAGCCTGACCATGGCAGTCTAGACTGGAGGGGATGTGGAGACCTGACTTGAGCCTGGGCTAACTTGCCACCCTGAATGAGTGTAGCCCCTTTGGGTCCTGCCTGAGGAAAAAGGTCTAGCACAGAGCATGCCAGTTTTCCAGCTCCTGACTCTCAATGGTGGGCACCTCTTTCTCAAGCTATTTTCTTTATTTCTTTTAATTACAGCACTTGTGGGCCAAGTGTGGTGGCACATGCCTTTAATCCCACCCAGCATTCTGGAGGCAGAGGCAGGTGAATCTCCATAAGTTCTAGGCCAGCACCGTCTATGTAATAAGTCTGGAACAGCCAGGGCTACAGATCCTCGGAGAATTTACATTATTTACTGGAGGGGGGTGGCACCTGCGATTGTACAACTTCCGGAAGTCTGTTCTCTCTTTTTACTATGTGGGTTCCAGGAATCAAACTTGGGTCCTCAGGCTTGTCAGGCTGTTTTAAATGAAGCTTCACAAACAAAGACTACTTAGCCAGGTGACAGTTTCATTCCCTGCTCTTTCTTCTTTTTGATTACGGCGAATTTCACAGCCTCATTAAGATGTTCACAACTAATATTCTACAGAAGGCTCATGTTGGAACACTGTTTTTTTTTTTTTTTAAGTTTTTAAAGTTGAGCCATCTGGTATGTGTCTCAAATATGATAACGAATGCTTCACAATGTATCTCTTTAGTACCATGCTTCACAATGTATCTCTTTAGTACCATAACCATGGAGTCATCAGTGAAAGAATGGAGAGCAGTTGAAACAAGAACTAGACACTCCCTTCCACTCATCCTTCACAACACATTTCTAGCTGCTAACAAAGCTGGTCGTGGTCTAACGTCTTTTGAAAGGATAACAAGCACTTAGCTTCTCCTGGAACAATGGCAGGGTGTTATTTTTTAGTGAATACGTTTCAAAACCATGCACATTTTTCCTTTGATTTTAGGGCACAAGATGGAGAGCCAAGCCAAGCCAAAGAGGCCCAGCAGAAGCAAGGCTCTGCACACCAGGAGTGGTTTACCAAGTACTTTTCATTCTAAGCTTGTCTTTGGAATCTGTTCCAAGGAGCTCATTGGCATCATTTCAACCATCTGAAGGAACGAATTAGAATCACCCAACCAGGTAACTAGCTGGTAGTGACTGACTTACGAATGACAAATAGCTAAAACAAAATGTGGCATTAATATCCCAGTTTCATTGTGACACCTGTTTACAGTTGTCACAATTCTTACAGTTGAAGCAGAAACAAGCCAATCGTTAGAAAGCATCCCTTGAAAAATGCTACTAATCTCTGATGACCAAATTACCCATTGTGTTTCTGGTGCCTGTAATGTCACACTCCTCTTAGTGGGATATCAGACTTGTGACTGCCATGGTCTGCTTTAAAAGTATTTTCATTTTTTTCTTGGTCATCTCCACTCAAGCAACTCTGCTATGTATTTCCACATATATAAAAACGATAATTTCAAAAGGCACATCTAACCTCAGTATAAAGAGGAATAAAATAAAGCCAATGGGAAACAAACAAACAAACAAAAAAAAAAAAAAAAAAAAAAAAAACCCAAAACCATCAAACCTTCCAGGAATGGACTGCAGCATGCTTGGAATGCATGTGTTGGCCTCGAAGCTCTAGCACAGGCAGCAGACTACAGAGGGACAACACCTACCTCAAAAGAGACTTTGTAAGATTAAGCAACATACTCTAGGTAGAGCCATCAGCCTGAACTGGAATGCTGGGTGAACAACTTTGCTTCACCCGCCACACATCTCAGCTTCAGTGACCATTGTTCAACAGTCTTTTGTGAAGGATTCTACGCTGTCTGTTCTCCCATGTCAAAGTTTGCTGGACCCCTGTCCTTTGCATCTAGGTCTACTGCCTCAGAGGTAAGGCTTCCCCACTGCATGGACTCCCTGGAGAGCAGGGAGCTGCCCATGGTGCTGAACTTGCACTCTGTCCACCAAGTCTTACCCTCTGACAGAGCAGATCTGACACAACTTTAGTGGGTAGATTTCCCCCCCCCCCCTCTGGTGCTGGCCCAGCAAGTGGCTTATCAACAGATGTTAATTCTATGCATTGTCAAATATTTGCTCTTCGAATAAAATTCCAAACTGGGCAATGAAAATTGGCTGAGCCTTGTATAATTAGATGAAGACAGAGCTTTGAAACAAATTTCACATTAAATTCAGATTGTCTACAAATAAAATGTAGACAACTAGATCAGTTTTTTTTTTTTTTTTAATGTAAGTGAAACACGTCAAAAAGCAAAACAAAACTATGGGCTTTGGTTTTTTAGTTTTTATTTTTGTTTTTTCTGTGTTAGAATTTGAGCACAGAGTCTTTCTTACCCCTGGTTAAGGAAGTGGTATACCACTGACCTAGACTGTCATCCCTGTGATAGATTTTTGAATGCAATCATTTGTCACCATATTTGAAGTGCTACGTTATTTTTCAGTGCCAGCTTTTGGTCCCTCCTGCTCAGGATGAGTGTCTAACATAAGCTGGAGACACTGCTATACTAAAACTTTCAAGATGGGGTAAATTTATAGATAATAGAAATGTATTACTCGAGGGCTAAGAAAACCATGAAGGTGCTAACAGAGTGAGAAACCATTCTTTATAACTCTCCACTATGGGACCTCATGTGCAACCAAGCTGGTTTAAGTCTCTTTGTAAAGGTCTCAATCCCATTCATGAGCACACAGCTTTCATTGCTCTATCACCTCCTAGTAATACAGGGTAAGTGTTCTCTATCCCAACACTCGGGACCAGGAGTGCTTTAGAGTGGTTTAGCACATGTGCAAGGCCCTGAGTTCAGTCCCCCACTATGCTAACAAATAAGTGAGGTTTTAAATATTTTCAGACTCATGCACATAGATAAATTATCTTATGGGACCCAAGTCTAAACAAGATATTCTCTACATAGACAGCTTAGCATTAGTGTATCTCCGTTTTAACTCAAAAGTAAGGAAGTTTCTACTTACTGTGTCAGATCAGTACTGGGAAAAGTTTAGATTTGGGAGACTTTTGGATTAGGAAATGCTCAGTCTGATTCCCACTACATATTTGACAATTAGCAGTGAGCACTGTGTTTTCTTGAGGACCTTAGGAAAATAACTACAGATGGTTCTGCTTTTTTGATATGGGCATTTCCCCAGCATGCCCAGTATATTATCTTTTTGCTGCTGAGACCAAATGCCTAACAGAAAGAATTCAAAACCATTTATCACTGTTTAGGTTTGGATGCTTCAGTCCACCATGGCAGGGAAGGTGTGGGGGGAGGGCTGAGGCAGCTAGCTGGTCACTCTGTATCCAAATGGAAAGCGGAGAGTAAAGAACCCTGATGGTCAGCTCACTTTCTCCTTTATTCAGCACTGGATCCCAGCCCATGGAATGGTCCTGTCCACAGGGTGGGCCTTTCATCCTCAATCAGCCTCATCTAGAAACTTTCTCACAAGCATGCCGAGAGACCTTTCTCCTAGGAGAGTCTAGAGCCTGTCAAGTTGAAAACAGCCATCAAATGGGGTAACAGTGGCAGTCATTCATTCAATCCAGCATGATGTCTGGTACTTCAAATGGCACGGTGACTTTATTTTGGACTGTAAATGTGTCCAATGATCATAAACTGACTTATCTCACTTCAGGGTGACTAAGGTTTGACCTTCTGACCCCATTTTCCTCAGCAGAGTAACAGGGCAAGCTCTGCTGAGTGCTTATGGTTATTTCTTTTTAGGTCTGTGCTATCTGAACAAGGATCATTCAGAAGTCTGGACTAGGGTGACTGGCACTGCTCCGGTGACTGGCACTGCTCCTGAGCAGACAGCTCACTAAAGGAGTCCAGGATTGGCCCCAATACTAACAGCCATGCTGGGCAGGATAATTAACACTCAGCACTGGCACAACCAGCTTAGTTTCTGTAACTGTGTTTCTTGCTACTACACTTTTGAAAGCCAAACTGAGAAGGGGTCTTCAAAGAGTGAGGGACCCAACTCCCAGTAAGTGGTTGGAGAGAAGCACATAGGAAAAGGAAGACGTGTTAAAGAGCTAAGTTCAGGTACAGAAGATAAGGAAGTGGAGTGTCCATCTGACCTGTGGCCAAAGATGATTACAAGCACAATTGTGGGATGGACAAACACTATGGGGGAAATAGGGCTGGAGACTGAATCAGGAGCTGGGAAAGATCATGAGTGTAAGGAGTAAGGTTTTTCCACCCACCGCCGCACCAGCCCCAAATAACACACAGAGACTCTGTATTTGATATAATCTGTTGGCCAGGTACTAGTTTCTTATCGGTTACCTCTGTCTTAATTATTAACCCGTTTCTATGTATTTCCACATGGTCTTACCAGGGAGAGGCGGCTGGCGGTTCTTCCTTCTCCAGACTCTCCATCTTGACTCCTCCTTACCACTTCCTCTTTCCTCCTTGTCTCCTAGTCCCTCCTATCTTGCTTTCCTATTGGCCAACAGTGCTTTATTCATTAACCAGTATGAGAAACATATATACATAATGGCATCTCCCATTACAAGAGTTATTTAAGACGATTTGAGTGAGCTGCAAGGAAGGGGCCAAGGACAGACAGTAATATGGCAGAATCACCACAGTGGTACATGTGGAAAGGCGGGTCTTATGCAGAGAGGCAGATGTAATAAACAGGGTTTGAAAACGCCTTCCTTCAGTCTGTTGGATTACATGTGGGAGCAGTCAGCCAGGGGAAATCCCTGGAAGACATGCAGTCTGGAGATTCTGTGTTCATCCACCAACTGGCAAGCTGCCGTGTAGTAAGAAAAAGACGGGTAGAACTGGGAGATAGTGGAGATAGTTCAGTATGGAACTTAGGTGCAGCTGGAGACCTGAGCTCAGATCTGTTGTACCAGAAAAGCCCAGCAGAGTAGCTCAGTCCTAGTGCTGGGAAGAGAGGGAGGCAGGATAATCACTGAGGCCTGCCAGCCATACAGTCTTGTCCAGTAAAGTAAGGCCCGTATTCAGTGAGAAATTGTGTACCAAAAAGTGAGGTGGAAAGAGGTAACACATGACATGGATCTCTGGCCTGCACAAAAATTCACATGTACCCCCCCCCCCAAAAAAAAACAAGTTCACAAATACATCAATACATAGAAAGGATGCTGACAAACTGACAAAATGGGAAAATCATCTTACCTGTAGAACACAATAAAAAAAAAAAAATCAACAATGATTTGTACATATACTAATTTAAAGTAAACTTTACTGAACACCAAGAACAGTTTCCAGTATTTTCACCATCTCCTTTAGTATTGAAAAACAAACAAAAATGTAATCAGTTTAGTTTTTAGCCAAGAAACCAACAAAATATAAAGCTGACAGTCAGTGCTTCATAAAGTGGGTGGTGTTTTGGTGTGGTTTTGTTTGTTTCCCACAGGGGTTTGTGAAACAGGATCTCATGTAGCTTACAACAGCCTCAAACTTGCTATGTAGCTGAAGATGGCATTCAACTCTGATCCTCCTTCTACCTCCTAAATGATAGGTTACAAACATGCCACCATGCCCAGCCTACATTTTCCAACACTGTTTAACTTACACATTCTAATTAAGGGGACTTGATGGCCTCAGGCTGGTTCTCATTGGTCCATGTGCTAAATATTATACAACCAAGCTCATACATGAAAAGAGTAAAATCACACATAATCAAGGAAATGCCTAACTCTCACAGGCATACTACAGAGCAAGTACCAGAGAGGGCCACAATTCGTAATGCATATGGAGAACCTAAGAAAGTTGACCAAAAAAAGAAAGAAAAGAGAAAAAAAGCTATGCAGTGAGGGTGAATTCAGGAGCTGCACAGACCAGATGGCTGTGCTAGGGAAGGCAGGAAGCAGACGATAAGAATCCAAAATGCACAAGACTAAACAAAGCTGGAAATGCATTGACTGTTCAAGAGGTATGGCATATTTTGTTTTGGGTAAAGAGAAGTACTCTGCTCTAAAAAAAGAAAAACAAATAAATAGCATGCATAGAAAACTCAGAGAGAATCCAAGGCAGCCCTGGCCCCCCAGACCTCACCCATGCCTTCGTATGACTCCATTCCTTACACCAACCATCATTACACAGACCGAGAGCACTCAGCAAATGCTTCTGATACATGTGCCTTCAAGTCAGTGAAGAAGGACCCAGATAAAAATCCAACATGAAGGCAAGCATCCTCCGGTAACACCACACTGGCAGCATATTTTAGCCTCTCCTCAACCACTTGCAAATATGCTCACCCTGTGCCACTATGGAAGCATGGCATTGTTGAGTCAGATGCCTCGTGAGGTAGTTCAAAAGGGTTGAAACAGCAAATTCACAGATTTGCTTCCACTACCATGGATGATTAAGGCTGACACCAAACTATATCCCCTGCCTTCTCAAACTATTGAAAACCTTTTCCTTCAGGTTTTTACCAAACTCACAACTAAAAAAAATCCAGAGATAAAGGCACAAAAATGACAAAATGTTACCAAAACAGATGGCAAAGGCCAAGTAAGAATGTGTGATTACTCTCACAGTCCAAACATCCCTAAAGTTAAAAACAACAAAAACAAAACAAAACAAAAAACAAACAAAACAAAACAAAACAAAAACGTACTTGCTTTATCAAAGCTTCAGCATTTTATAAAGTACTCTAGGGGTTTAGAGAACTAAGGAAGCTGAGGCAGGGGAATCCATAGGTTCAAGGTCAGCCTGGGCTTCATATTTAAATCCCACCTTATAAGTAACTAACACCCATGCACTATCAACGGAGTTCTTCCAATAGACCACGTCTCTAAGGAAAGATGTCTGGCAGTGCTGTAGGCTGCATGCCAGGCCAGTGTGCTCTTAGGTTGGCTTCAGAGGTGCAGGAATATTGGCAGACGCCTGCTCCAGGTAGGCCAAGGAGCCCTGGGGGATTTCAGCTGGCTTCTTGTGCTGCACACTGATGTCCTCCAGCACCTGCTGCCAGTGCCTCAGCTTTGTCAAGTGCTTCTGGACCAGCGCATCTTTCCGCTGCAGTTCACTCCTCAGTTCTGAGACATCCTACAGACGATAGGGGCGGGCAGGGAGAGGAGTGATGAGGTTAGTCCTAACAAACAAGAGTAAATGAATAAAGCTCTTTTTTAGTCAGGAGCACTAAGAAACACCCTGGTGGTGTAGGTTTCTAACCCCAGATACTCAGGAGGCTGGGGCAGGATCATGATCATGAAGTTTAAGGTCAGAGTGAGTTGAAGGTCAGTTTGGGTAACTCAGGTAGGGGTGGAGATATAGCTCAGCTGAAGAGCGTGTGCTTAGAAATGCTAAAACGGCACCATGGGCATGGAAAAGCAACACTAGGAAGCCAGTTCAAAGCAAGGGGATGCAAAATCTTTAAAGCCCATCACTCTGCTGCTCTATCTCAATCAGCCAGAGCAAATCTTGTTGTTTTTGTTTTCTGAGACAGGGTTTCTCTGTGCAGCCCTGGCTGTCCTGGAACTTGTTCTGTAGACCAGGTTGGCCTCAAACTCACAGAGATCTGCTTTCCATGTGCTGGAATTAAAGGCGTGAGCCACCACAGTCCAGCAAAAGCAACTCCTCCAACAAGACTTTTAAGATTAAATTACCTCAGAATCTAAAAGACCACTGCTGAAAAATACCAAACACTAAAAATACGAAACAAGTGTTAACAGCTATCTATAAGAATCCACATTACTGTTCCATAATTTCAGATTATTCACTGTTAAAATGGTACATCTTTTTCAAAAGCTATTAGCAGTGGTAAATCCTTTATTTAAAAATTGGTTTTGGGTCCGAGAGATGGCTTGATGGTGAAAAGCACTTACTGCTCTTGCAGAGGACCTGGGTTTAGTTTCCAGCCCCCACAAGATAGCTTACAACCAATTACAATTCTAGTTCCAGAGGATCCAATGCAGTCTTCTAGCCTCTATGGAAACATACATGGTGCACATACAAACATGAGGGCAAACACTCATACACATACATTAAAAAAAAAAAAAAAAAAAAGCAAAATGCTTAAATGGTAGCCTTAAGCATTTCCACACATTTGAGTATTCATATCGAGGTGACCTATTACAATAGTCTGTAAGATTACAATCTTCTTACTATTCCTGTTATCAACAGCTGGTCTTGTGGCTGAAAAGGCCCTTTCTGATTAACTGGTCATGGTTCACTTGTTATTTCAAAAGCTGCCAAAATCCACTACTCTCAAATTTGCATTTCTCAGGGGCAGTATCACTGGCCTTGGGGCTGGAAGTTCAGGATCTTGTATCCTGGGGTGTCAGGGATCATCTCACTTACCCAATACCATTAAAGCTTCTTAATTCTTGTGGCAACTCGTTTCTAAATATCTCAGTTTAAAGCAAATGAGACTAACTTACCCCTTTTCAGAAATTTTGGCCAGAATATTTACCTTCTTTAGTAAGAGGTTTGCCTCTGCCTCCTGAGAGCTGGGATTAAACATATACATCACCATGCCTGCTACAATATTTACTTTTTTATTCCTTAAGCAAAGTTTATAAACCATTTCCTACCAGGTAAGGTAATTAGGGGACACAATTACAGTTCCTGTCTAAATTACTGATGGCTTTCCAACTGTTTTCAGAAGGCAAAACCAACTCTTTAAGAAACTTTTTCATGAAAACCAGGGTGTGAAATAAGCAGGTAGAGCTGATTGCATTTCTGCTCCTTCCCCAATGAACCCCCCCCCCCATGTGTCCAGGCTGTCATAAACACTGGCATCCTCCTCTGACCTATAAAGACCTCTTACAACTCACAGGAAGAGAGTATATCTTGTTAAGACACAGTGGAATCTAGACACTTGTTCTCCTTAAAGTTGGGGAGGGCGGTTTGTACCTCTTTGATAACTTGATCTGGTTTCTGGACAGACAACTGCAGCCTTTTTTGTAAGAAAAAACATTCTGTCTGTCTTGCAATGTCCAAGAACTTCTGAATACACTGATCAACACCTTTAAAATAAAAAGAGAGAGAGAAAGCAAGTTTTAAGGAAAACACGAGATATGGATTTTAATCTGGATGACAGCAACAACAATCATCTTCAAGTTTCCATGTGTGACTAGTAGGAAGTCACAGATTTTACACAATAGAGAAGTCATGAAGTCTTCCAAAGAAACACAACCCAGACACAGCAATTAGGACCATAATTTCCATTTAAAATGGAATATTCAAAAGACAGTCAAAAGTCATGGACAATGGAGCTAAGAATACGCACAGCAGACTTACTCCTCTATCAGAGCTGTCAAAAGATCAACATAATTTGTGGGTTTTTAAATAAACAGTTCTCACTGGTTTTCTTTATGCACATGAGCAGCTCATTTTAGGTGGTTCATAATGACTCCTAAAACATGTCACCTAGGGAAGTGAACAGAGGCAACAACTTGTGGGGGCCATCCCCATCCATCTTACTCTCTGGAAAAGTTCTAAGATACACAACATACAGGGCTGAACATGAAAATATAACAGGAATCCTGCTATCCGCAAAGAGAGAAATCTCACCAGTTCGAATTTCTTCCTGATCGGTTCCATTGACATAATCCTGACTCACAAGGGAGGCAAAGCAAGCCTGTGTGATCAAAACATAAAAATGCACTATTTACACATCAAGCAATTACTTATGAGCAAGAGATAACCTCCCCTGAGGCCAGTCAACAAGGGGACACTTACTGAGTTTGTACTGAGAAAACCTCAGACCAGTGTAAATACTTGGTAAAATAAATCTCAACTGGTCTGGCATCTGAGACTCTGGTATTCACTTGACCATCATATGGTCTTATTCCTACCATCTGCCTTTTCCTCACTCTCTTATTCCACATCCTGGATGCCTATCAATCCCATCACAGCCACTGTGGCTGACCCTTACATGAAATATATATATTACTATCTCAAAAATGTTATGTCCCCTCTTTCTAAATGGTCCCCCTCTTGTTCATGCTCTGCAATGGAGCTTGGCATGCTTTCCACATAAATAACACATTATTACCCATTCTTTTCAGCCACTATTATTTGTCTCCTACTGACAGGTCTGCCTGTGTGGTTCAGCACTATATTGTAAGTACTTGGAATATATCTCTGGACACTTAATAAGGAACAGAGGTGTCTGTGTGATAAATGGTGTCACATGGAGAATCAAGTCCCAAAGAAGGAGATCTCCTGAAAGAGTACCAACTGAGCTACACATGTGAGTGCTCCACAGAGGCACAAGCAACCCTTCATAAAGACAAAATAGGTGGAAAATAACATGGATGGCAGCTGACAAATGAACACAGGCTGTGAGGCAAGAGCACCTGCAGCAGTGAGCAAACATACTTGTAAAACCCAAAGATGCAGAACCAAACGTAAGCCATAACTACATGTGAAGGCCCTCTCAAGAGTAATAACTCCTGCTTGGCTGCAGATCTGATAGACAGAAACAATCACAAGGACTTCCCAAGCTTGCAACAGCTCACCAAATCAGACTGCCCATTGTGTGCACTGCAAAAGTTAACTTTTTGGGGTGTGAGCAGGATGTGCATACTTCATGAGACCCATTGTCCCACAAAGCTTGGGTGGCTTCGCCAGAGTCAGTTGGCCACGCAGAGTTAAAAAACTAAGTTCAGACTGGGCAGTGGTGGCACACACCTTTAATTCCAGTGCGTGGGAGGCAGAGGCGTGCAGATCTCTGAGTTCAAGGCCAGTCTTGTGTACAGAGTGAGTTTCATTACAGCCAGGACTACACGTAAAAAGAACCCTGTCTCAAACAAACAACCAAACAAACAACGAAACAAAACCCAAAGAAACTCAGTCAAACAAACAAAACTAACTTCTGAAACTTTAGTTCATGGAACACCTTCCCGCCCCAATTATTCTTTATTGACAGCCAGTCTTATAAAAAGGCCATTTTTTTTCTTAAAGGGCTGGTAGGATAGCTAATCATGTAAAGATGTTTGTGTACGGCATGGGCTCCCGGATCCCCGGCATGGGCTCCCGGATCCCCGGCATGGGCTCCCGGATCCCCGGCATGGGCTCCCGGATCCCCGGCAGGCCCTGGGGGCCGGGGCAGCCTGAGTGAACGCTGCGCGAAGACGCCCACGTCTCACCTCGAAAGACGACTCCAACTCGTCCACCAGGGTGCTGCCGGACGGCCTCGGAGCCCCGGGCGCGGCCTGCAGGAGCGACGCCTGGCCTGGGAGGCCGGGCGGGGGCGGCGGGGGCCCGGGGGGCTGCCCGGAGAACATGCCGCCCAGAGACCCCGCCATGTCTGTCTGCTGCAGCGGCGAGCGGAAGCGCCACTGGGCCTGCGTGCGCCGCGGGGGTCACGTGACGGGGGCGGGGCTCCCGCGCAGCGGGCGGGAGACTGGAGCGCAGCCTGCGTTTCTCTCCGCGCTGGCGCTGCGAGTAGCGAGAGCTTGGGCTGCTTCAAGCCAGTCGTCACGTGCGTGCGGAGACCGAACTCGCGTGAGGGCATCCCCGCCGCCGCTCGGCTGCGTGCTGTCCCCGAAGGCTTTCGGGAACCGTAGCCAAGTCTTTGCAGCGGGCCCCTAGTAAACCGGGGAGTCATCCCTCTACTCGTCCCACGGTGACTGAGGGCTCGCTGTGTACCAGATGCCCATCGGTCACTTGTTCTAGCTGGAACAACACGCCTTCCCTCTAAATTCTGGCGTAAGGTAAGCATTAGCGACTGACACCCCAAACTACCCATGCTCCCGACCCCGTTGTTAGCATAGGATGGTAAAAACCGGTGAGAAAGTCTACCACTGTGCTCATGTTTTAATAACTTGGTTTTCAAGAAAGCAAATAACCTTTTGTGTTTAGTTTTACAAAACCTAACTGATTCCTTCCAGTTAGGCATTGTTTAATAGTCTACAAGTGATAGTAAACACCCCAGATGTATATTCTTATTTATTTGTAGAAGTAAGTACTAAGGAAAATGATGCTTGTGACAGGACAGCTAAGTGCTCTTTGGTAGGTGATTGAGGATACAAGTAGGACAAACTGGGTAAATGGGACATGGGATTTTATAGTATTTTTACCATTTCTATAATTATTATATTATTACAAAGTCTATAATTATGGTAAAATAAAAATGTGTAAGTGAAAGACCCCCAGAGACCCCAAGAGTTTGGAGCCTGTCAGGGGGAAGGCCCTTGCCCCCAAGAGACGAGACCAGACCACTGGATGCAAGTGCAAGAGGTTGTTTATTGTTTACACAGGTACCTGTGGACACTTCAGTCTTTCGGGGGACTGAGCGTGCTGAGGTTAAAACTCAGGCAGTTTATATAGGGTTGGGGTGGCAAGAAGCAGGCTTACAGAAGCAGAAGCATGGTTACAGGGATTTCATTGTGTCATCTAAATGTAGCAGTTGTAGTTAACCAAGGACAGTTGGTTATTCGGGTTGGGCACAAAGAATACAAAGAATTCAGTTATGACTATCTCAGCATACTGGACACTGTCCTGCTGACCTTGCTTTGGTCCAAGCTGCAGACCACAGATATCTGGTTGGCGTTGGATGAGAGCAGCACCTGGTTCCCTCCTGTACTTTTCTCATAACTTGACCTTGGCAAATTAGCAAGAGCAATTTAAACAGGCAATAAGCATAGTGGGGGTCTTTCATAAGTTTTAAGTAAACAGGAAATATGGTCCCATTTTATACGTGACTATAGGTGAGTCATGTATAGTGGCACATGTCTGTAATCCCAGAGCTCGTGGGGGGAAAGGGGGCAGAGGCAGAGGCAGCATAATTGCCACAAGTTCAGAGCCAGCCTGAGCTATATAGTTCCCAAGTTCCCAGCCAGTTGGGCTACAGTATGAGACCTTGTCACAGAGAGAGAGAGAGAGAGGGAGGGAGGGAGGGAGGGAAGGAGGGAAGGAGGGAGAGAGAGAGAGAGAGAGGGAGAGAAAGAGAGAGAGAGAGAGAGGATAAAAATAAAAACCTGAGAGGGGGAATAAAATTATTTGAATATTTTATAGGCCAACTATGAACACAAGTCTATGTTTCATTTTCATGAATAAAATGAGATTATAGTATGTGACCATCAAGATTGCTTTTTGGCCATCAGATGAAGGGACAGTGATATGCATGTGATGTGTGATTATTTTCCCAGTTCAAAATATTGCATTCCAACACACAAGCTTGTGTCCTCTCTGATTCTGCATTTGAGTCACAGTTGAAACTCTGATGGGAACACCTGGTCCCTGTTCTGGTTTTGTTGTTGTCTATCTGTTTTAAGGTTTTTTTTTTGTTTTTTTTTTGAGATAGGGCCTCACTCTGCAGTCCAGGCTGGCCTCAATCTAGCAGCCTTCTTGCCTCCTGAGTGCTGAAGTTACAGGCACATATCACCATGGCTGGCTGCTTCCTCATTCTTCATACATGGAACTCTCTGTATTCTGACTTTTGTGTACACTGCATTTGAAGCCACTACTCCAAAAGTCACCAGTGACTACCACATAGCCAAACTCATATGGTTTTTGGAAACTGTCATTAAACCTTTGGCTTGACACAGTTGGTCATTAGTCTAAATTTACCACTTTTGGTTTTTGTTATATTATTTTTTATTATTCCCTATTTCCTGTCTGTCCATTCTAACACTCATTCTGTGCAAATAGACAAATATACTTCTCTAAATATACCTCTGTCTGAATTCCAGACTTACATTTCCATCTACCCATTATATGTTTCCACTAGGGAGTCTTATTCCCACATTGAAGTTGATAAATCTAAATCTTAGCACATTTTTGTCTAACCTATGTTCTCTTATGTTTCTTACCTAAATGAAGAGAACATCCATATGCACAAACCCAAGTCCCAACAGGAAAACCCAACGTCTCTATTTTACACTACTTGCATTGAGATAGAGTTATAGCAATTTGAAACTCTTTCTGTATTTTATTCAGAGTTGCAACTTGTAGAATAGGTACAAGCGGGAAGGAATGGGCAGATGGGGTGTCAAGGTCACCTGGTGGCTGGGATTTTTGCATGAATGCATCAGAGTTCTTAGCCTTCTAGCAGCAGGACGGGGACAAGATCTAGTGATAGTTGTCCTGTGTCGGTACCCTCCGAGTGAAGAGGAGGCAATGATCTCTTGCAGTAAATAAAATGATTGAACAAATAAATAAATGTGTTGAAGAAAGTTGGAGCTCATTTTTTTTTCATGCTTGAGACATTATTTACAGATAGGTAAAAAGGAAGGAAAAGATTACCCATCATAGTGTTAGATGGAAATAGAGATAATATGTCTTTTAAAGAGAAGTATATGTGTTTATCTATTGAAAAAAATGTTCAGTATGTCTGTATATCTCAAGTCTTACTTTGCCTACTGAGTAGGGTTAGCAGTGGCACGTCAGTGGGCAATGAGGTAAACTTGTGACCGAGGTGCTGTACTTCAAATACTATTCTCTCCTAAGAGAGGATAGAATTGTATAGGATGTGATGAGAGGTAGAAATCCTGCCTAGCTATTGGCCATTCAGCTCTTTATTATACCAATCACAGCAATACATCTTCACACAGTGTACAAATATCCCACAACATCTGGGGTCACAAGAGTTGGAAAGCTAGTCCTGACCTTCCTTCACTGGCTGCAACACAGGACAGTGACCTGTGCTTCCTGCCTGTGTAGTACACTAGAGCTGACCCTATTGTTGTGGGTGTAAGAGAGCCAGCCCTGAGGGTATGAGAGCTGATCTCTCTTTAACCCCCTAGAGCAATCAGGAGAGAGGGCCCTGTACCTAGTAGGCAAAACAGTAGAGCTGGCCCTAGCCATATGAATGAGGGGGACCTAGATCTGAGAGCCCAAGTGAGAGCAGAACTAGCCCTGCTCCTTGCTGTAGGCTGTGTTGGGTGAGCTAATTGAGGCAGTGCTGGTGAGCTCATCTGGGTAGTGATGCTGAGGGAAAGCTAGCAAGCTGATCAGCTTCCATGTAGGCCCAGAACCTGGGATGAATTGACTCACCCTGACATCCTCTAAATCTATGAACTATTGGAGCCTGTGAAAGGGACTGACCTACAAATCTAAACTGTAGGATCTCCATGACACAGGACAACAGAATGTCCAAGAGGAGCTCCAGTGAGAGGCTGTAATTGGTGATGTAGCAGAAATCAGAGACCTTGAGCCAGACCAGTGAGTGACTCAAGCAACGAACAATTGCTAGAAAAGATGAATGTACTGAAGGGTAAACTATGTGACACATCAGACCACACTACAGCTTCCATAAAAAGATTCTTTTTGTTTTGTTTGTTTGATTGGTTTTTGGTTTTGACTTGAGGGTTAAGTTGCAAGAACAGAGGGCAGATGCAAGAAGACAGGAAGACAAGTAGACTCAGAATGCATGATATGAAATCCAAAGAATCAATAAAAGTTAAAAAAAAAAATTAACTCTGTGAGCAAATGTCATAGCCAATCCAGAGAGCACAAAACACTGTCTTATTTCTAATAACTAGCTAGGTGGGGTGATTTGAACGAGAATGCCCCCATAGGTTCATACATTTGAATAGTTGGTGCCATTAGCAGAACTGTTTGGGAAGGCCTTGGTGTCACTGAGGTCAAGCTTTGAAGGAACTCTCCCACCATCCCCTGTGTGTTCTCTGCTGTTTGTGGATCCAAATGTGAGCTCTTAGCTGCTTCTCAAACATCATGCTTGACTGCCCACAGCCATGCTGGTGATAAGACTCTTATTCTAGAGTTGTCAGCTCCAATTAAACTCTTCTAAAAGGTGTATTGGAAATGGGTGTTTTATCATAGCAATAGGAAGGTACCTGAGACATTAGGCATAATGGTGTTCCCCTCTAATGCCAGTATTTGGGAGATAGAGGCAAAAGGATCAGAAGTTCAAGGCTATCCCCAGATACATTAGACCCTCACTACCACCCTCAAAGAAAACCAAACCCAGAAACAATTACTTCTTGTAATTGCATAATGTCTTAATTTTGCTTATGCTCTTCTTCTTAGTACTACAAACCTGAACTTCCATTTTTCTTCTCAATTAAAAACATATGCTTTAGCCAGGCATGGTGGCACACTCCTTTAATCCCAACAATCAGGAGGCAAAGACAGACATATCTCTGAGTTTAAGGTCAGCCTGGTCTACATACAAATTAAGTTCCAGGACAGTTAAGGCGGTTACACAGAGAAATCCTGCTTTGAAAAACAAAAACAATAACTCAAACATATACTCTAAAATTTATCAGAAAGTTAAACATTTAATAGCTACATGGAGAATATTTTTATTTTTTATTGTACATATCAATCCCAGTTCCCTCTCCACCCTTCCCTTTCTCCCTCCCTCCCATGCCCC